TGTAGAATAAGTTCTTAATGATTAAGCCCTTACCCTTTTAAGTCTAGGGTTTGGGTTTGGACCCTTTTGGGTGGTTCCTAGGGATAAAGATGGAAACTTTACCCTTCTTGATCTCATTTAAACTGAAATTTGAGCTTTGGAGCTTTTGGATTCATTGAAGGCAGCTTAATGCATTAAGCTGTTGGAATTCTAGGTAACTCGGCGAGTTTATTAGTGAACTCGGCGAGTTGATGGGGTGTTGCCCGATCTTTGCAGACTAATGAAGAAACTCGACGAGTTGAAGGACAACTTGGCGAGTTGGGTCAACTTGGACCGTTGACTTTCACTTTTGATTTATGATTTTGAGCAAGTTTGTCCCAAGGGGTAATTGTGGTAATCTGAATTGTAATTAAGGGAAGTATGGGCTTAGGATAAGGCCCATATGGGATTGGGCCCAATTTGGAAAATTGAGCCATTAGTGGGCCTTTGTGGATCTTTTGGTTTTGGGCCTTTTTGGTTATTAAGGATGGACCTCAGTTTCGGTTCTTGTTGGGGTCAGGGGTAAAATGGTCATTTTACCCCAAGTATGGTTGGTGGGTCTTGGAATCGAACCCAATTGCTAATTAGGTGTTATTTTGATATGATAGTTCGGAGGCGTCGTCAGGGCAACAACTAGGGAATTCTTTCAGTGAGTTTCTGCATTTGAGGTGAGTCTCTTCACCATATCAATGGGTCGAAGGCACCAAGGCCGGCCCATGTTATTTAGTTGTAGTGGTTATTTGCGAATGTGCTATTAATGTGTATGTATTTATATGAAGACCATATGGGGGTTCCCATGGCAGTTAGATAAGACCATGTGGGGGTTCCCATGACAGACAGTCAAGGCCATATTGGGGTTCCCATGGCAGTTAGTTAAGACCATGTGGGGGTTCTCATGGTACCCGGAGTAAGACCATGAAGGGTTGTCATGACATCCTTATATGTTTTTATGCATGACATATGCGGTTTTATGTGGGTTATGTTGCGGGGAACTCACTAAGATTTGTGCTTACAGTATTCAGTTTATGTTTCAGGTACTCCAGTTTTCCGATGACAGAGGTTGGGACGATCGCAGCGCATACACCCGTGTTTTCCACAACATGTGATCTTTGGTAATGAACTCTGATAATTGTTTTATTTGAAATGCTTTTCAAGGTTTACATAAGTTTCATTAGTGTTTTGACTATAATAAAAATGAAAATTTTACCCTGGATTTTTGGGATGTTACAATTCAACCTGATAATCTCAAAAATACTAATTAGTTGTATAACACTATTTCACTTTTTTTGTTATATCTTTTAAAAATGATAATAAATATGGTAAATAGTTTTTTAACGGCAAATAATTTTATTAACATGAAAAGCGAGATAGAAACTAGTGCTAATACAAAATACAATTACAAGTTACAAGCTAAAAAGGAGATGATCTCCAAGTTTCCAAATCATGATTGAAAATCTAGTCCGATATTCCAAAAGGTGCCATAAAACAGTACCAATGAGAGCCCGGGTAGTATAGCAAACTTGTGGTAGAGATAAGATTGTACATGAATTCCTTTTGAGCCGGTATGGATAAAAGTGGGATATTGTTGAGGAATAGTCTCCAAATGAAACTGTTTACCAAAAGTCACTTATTCCATTTAAAAACCACCGACTTTGAGACAAAGAAGCTTTTTCAATAATCAAATGAAAAGATTGCATCGAGAATCTTTTGTGTTAGTCCCCAGACCATGTCCAAGTGTCGTTTAAGTCATAAAGTGATTTGGAATTTTTCAACAACAATGTTAAAGCAACTAATTCATTATGTTCAACCCAACGATTTAAAAACTGGTTCAAACTGTCCGATCGAACCTGTTAGACCAAGAACTAGAGACGAAAGCGGTTCAACAATGACTGTTGATGCCAATTTCTAGACGTGATCAAACCAGACAGTTTTAAAAAAATCTAGGTTAAACCAGTATGATAGAACCAATAAAAACTGTTTGAACCGGTTTATTGGGTTTGGATAGTTAGATTTCACTCAAATCTTTAAAAACAACTCATTTCTAAAGCAAATTAAACTTAATCGATCAGGTTATCTAAATCGTACACAACTTAAAGGCCAATACAATTCTTTTTCTTTTTCCACCATGTAAAGACTTGAATATGTTTGGTAGTTTAATTCTATCTTCCACCAAATCCTTCCTAATCTTTGAAATATTAAGCCTATGGGGTTTGATTTTCTAGCGAAAAGGCAATTATCATGAACCTTGATTTTGTTATGGACATAATAATTTGAGACTAGAAGCAAGACGATTCTACTTTTATCTTCCATAACAATTTATCAAGCAATCCAAAATTCATGTGTTCCCCCAATATGGAGGCCACTCATCTCCTTAGGAGCAATTAACTTTTTCCAAGCCTAAATTATTTTCCTTTTGGTACCATCCCCACCCGGGTTCTAAGACTTTAGTTTAGCTTTGAACTTTCCACATCTGAGTTCTAATTTCTAGCGAGTTTTATGTTGGTCCTAATCAAAGTCCTAAGATAAGTGAAAGGGAGGGTCCCAAAAAATCACAATTTAAAATATTTTCCATGCAATTAATTTCAAGACTTTATAATATGAACGCTTCGACATAACATTTAGCATTTAGAAAATTTGCTTCAGACCATTCACTAATGAACATACACCAATGACCATAACGACATCAACATATATCAAATGTGAAAGAATATAACCATTAATAGGAAAAACATGTCATTGAACAAGTGTTTTTCTCGAATTTTTTCCATACTAACATGGAGACTCTATAAGGAAAAAGTAAAAAAAAAAGGATAAAAGTGGATCCCCATGCCTCATCCCCTTTGAAATTAGGAACTCCTTTGTTGGGGACCCATTGAAAAGAATCAAGGCTTTGTCGGGACGAAAAATACTATTTATCTAACCTCTCCATTTGCATCCAAAGTTCATTTGTGCCACCATTTAATCAAGGAAATCCTAAGATAGAGAATCAAAAGTTTTGTCAAAGTCAACTTAGAAAAACATCATTCTTTTTTCACATTTTTAGCCCAATCACATATATCATTGATGATCAATGGTCTATCAAGGATGAAACGACCCTCCATATGTACATAAGTCGATTGTTCCACACTAAGTACCGATGTAATTACTTTTTTGAGCCAAATAGAAAGAAGTTTCGAAATTTCTTTCTATTTGGACAAAAGTCAATCTCAGGGGTCATTTCGAAGTTTCTGATTGCTTTGAAAGTAAAACCATCCATACCTAGAACTTTCTCACTCGTACAACTCCAAATAGCATTTTTTTAAACTCTGGATAAAGGAATATTGGTCATCAAGGAGGATTTTTTAAACTTTGCGCTGCTGAATGGGGCCGAAAAGCCCCATTTTAAAAGAATTTGCAAGAATTTTTTAAGCTTCAATTTTGATGGCTTGTGAATCACTCTACCAATGCTATTAATAACCAAGCCATTAATTTTTGTTCTTAAGTTACATACATTAATTGTGCTTATGCATTAAAGAAAGTTATGGATACCATTACTACAATTATATTTTTCATTCGAACCGATCTTATAGCTTTATTTTGATGCACATATTGTCTCTAATTTGGACTTTGTTGTTGCATACCCTTTAGAAGGGTTTGTGTTAGGATCGAGACACTTAACACACGACTCTAAACACACACACAACTCACGAAAAAACAAGAACACAAGGATGAACACGAGGGATTTAACGTGGTTCGGTCCTTCTCTGACCTACGTCCACCGGTAACTAGGAATTTATATTTCTTGGTGCTAATCTGCACTCTTTCTGTGTTACTCTAGATACAAGTTTTACAAATACAGATGAATCTCTTATATAGAGATGGAAATCAGAAGTAGTCAAAAAAACACAACCGGGTCTTCAGCCAACCTTTGAAAAAACTTCACATTCAACAATTGTGGCTTCACATTCAACAATTGTGGCTTCACATTCAACAGTTTGAATGGTGGATGCTAGGACTATAAAAAAAACCAGATGTTCAACAAATTGTTCATGAACCATTCGACTGAAAGTTCGTTTATTTAATAAACGAACGAACATGAAGAGAAATTCTCGTTCCTTTATTTAAATGAACGGACATGAACAATGGTATTGTTCGTTCAGTTATGTTTGTAAACGTTCGTTTATGTTGTTTGTTTACGTTCATTTATGTTCGTTCATTTAAGTTCCTTTTATTTTTATATATGTCAAATTATTTTGATTAAATTACTATATTATATATTTGTTTATGTTCATATATGTTTGTTTATCTTCGTTGATTTATGTTCGTTTAGCATATTCGCGAACATAAATGAACGAATATGAACAATGTTGTTTTTTAAACGAGCAAACGAACATGAACAACCCTCATTCATGTTCATTTGATTTGTTTACAGCCCTAGTGAATGCTCACAAAAATGATATACCAACGACAACAAAACAAAAAGGGATACACCAAGAAAGTGATGTACCAACCGATTTAAATGTCCAAAGAACCAAATTTTCTTCTCCACAAAACCGACAGAACCATATCTCAAAACTTTGTTTAATTTTTATATCAACACATTTAAAAAAGAAGGTTTTGAAGATATTAAAAAACCAGATCTAATCGATTGTACCAACATATCTGAAAAATATGATGTTTAGACCATAAGCCTTTTCTTTGCTCTTTATTTTATTTCCTATAAACACAAATACAACTTATTATAAATAATCAACTATTAACTTATTTTTGTTATGATAAATAAAGTTATATTAGTGTCAATACAAACTCAATGGATATATAATTATGAATTTATGATCAAATTCTTAACAAAAGCGGCATTACGAAGCACTATACTCCAAAAGCTACGAAAAGGCATATTTGTAAGGAATCGAGCAACCCAACAAAAACAGCATCTTTGTACTTTTTCTTTATAACTACAGAAAACCACATCCATCAAATGCCACAAAGAATCCATCTTACAAATGGCTTTGCTTTCTTCTATCTCCATCAAGAATAACTCATTCTATCACAAAAACATCTTCATTAGTGCCCCCCCAAACCCTGCCAAATACCCACAAAGAATACACCTTTCCTCGATAATTAATGCCACCTATGTCGTACCTTCCTCTTCATCCACTCCCCCAATCACACTCCAACAACTGCTGATACCCGAAACCAATCTGGTGCAATTCCCAGTCCTCAAAGGGTTTGAATTCAATACTTATATGAGCGAGAAGGCGAAGCTCGTTAATGAAGCCTTGGAATCAGCCATTCCGTTGCAAGAACCATTGAAAATACACGAGGCAATGAGGTACTCGCTACTTGCTGGAGGGAAACGAGTGCGACCCATCTTATGCCTTGCATCATGCGAGCTTGTTGGTGGGATGGAGGTGTGCGCCATGGCAATGGCGTCAGCTGTAGAAATGGTGCATACGATGTCACTCATTCATGATGATCTTCCATGCATGGATAATGATGATTTGAGAAGAGGAAAACCCACGAACCACAAGGTGTATGGTGAGGAGACTGCAGTCCTAGCCGGTGATGCGTTGCTTTCGTTAGCGTTCGAGCATTTAGCCACACGAACTATAGGGGTTGGGCCTGGGAGGGTGGTTCAGGCTATAAGCGAGTTAGGGTCCGCGGTTGGGTCTCAAGGGCTTGTTGCAGGTCAAATAGTTGACCTTTGTAGTGAAGGTAAGCAAGATGTTGATTTGAATAAATTAGAGTACATTCATGTGCACAAGACGGCGAAGCTGCTTGAGGCAGCGGTGGTTGGTGGGGCCTTATTGGGAGGTGGGAACTCCGGCGAGGTGGAAAAGGTTAGGAAATACGCGAGGTACATTGGGTTGTTGTTTCAGGTGGTGGATGATATATTGGATGTTACCAAGTCGTCGGAGGAATTGGGGAAGACGGCGGGAAAGGATCTGGTGAGTGATAAAGCGACGTATCCAAAGCTGATGGGGCTAGAGAAGGCTAAGGTATTCGCCGGAGAATTGCTGGAGAAGGCGGTGGAGGAACTTGCTTACTTTGACGCCGGCAAGGCGGCACCTTTGTACCATCTGGCACATTATATTGCATATAGACAAAATTAAATAAAAGGTTGAAAGATTCCAAATACTATAGAAGATGAAATTATTTTTTAAGTTGGAAATCTATACTTAAAAATTTAGATTTTATATTAGATATTATTGTGAGAATATTAGAACTCATGAGACTATACTTAATTTGTTTTAAATCCATAATGTTAGATTCTTTGGATTTTGGTGATCCAAATACATAACATGATTTCGAACAAAATGAAGAAACGTAAATGACGATTTCGAAGGATAAGTGTTTGGAGTGAGTTGAGGGCCATTAAGCCCGAAACCATATACGACAAATATGGGTGAGCATTTAGACATCCGGACCGGACCTGGACCTGGACCGGCCTCAACAGGTCTGGTCCAAGGTTCACCAATTTTTGAAAAACCGGTACGGTCCAAGAGCTGGTCTGGTCTGATTCTGTCCAAATACTCACCCCTACAGTCGTAATAGATAAACTAACTTTCAGTACGGCTTTAACAAGTGTACCATATGCATCTAAAGTTGTACCGGTCCAACGGGTACAAGAACCGGGAAACCCGAACCTGGACCGGCCTCAACCGGTCCGGTTCAAGGTCCATCAATTTCTGCCAATTAAATCAGTCCAGTCCAATAGTCGTCCGGTCAGGTTCGGTCCAAGTGCTCATCCCTAACAAAAAACACTTATCCCACAGCGGTGCGAGGACCAGACCAATAGTTGCTAGGACTTTGTCTACGTTGTAATGTTGAGAATGAAGAAAGGTAGTTGAAATCTACAACAAAAAGGAAGCAAACGATGAACATTCAGAAGCCTGTCAGATATGCAGGTTATGTTAATATTCATAACATTGTTTTAGTTACATATAAATTGGCAGGTGGAGATTGTTGTGATAGAAGTACACAATAATTATTACCACATAAAAATATATTCAAACATACCTAATATAATTGATTTAATAAACTGAATCCAATATATACAAATCAAGAAAACATACTTGAATTTGAAGATTACAAACACAGAATTATGCATATTAAGACCTGCTAATCAATATTCTAAGATAAAATTTTCGTGGTATAGATGTGTATGTAGGATAGAACCATATATTTTCAACTTAAACTTGAATCTAACGAATTTCCCAATATTTCTATATTTGCAGAAAACAAAAAAAATAAAGAAGATGAAGTGTAGACCTCGAAATATGTCATTTGTTCAACTATTTATAGGCTTCTTATAACAAGTTTAACTTCCAACCAAAATTAACTGCCCAAAACTATTAAAATAGTTAAACTATCAATTAAAAGATTTTCTAATTGATTAATTGATAAAAAATATTTTTTGGATTTTATATAAAAATATATCAATTACAACTATTCACCATATTCAAGTCTTCATCCTACTATAACTCTATCTATGGGGTTATTAAATAGAATAGAGTAAATTACATGAATGGTCCATATGCCTACTTTATTTTTTTTATTTTTTATTAACTTGGATCATCCATATGTTTTTGTTTTGTTTCAGGTTTAGTTCTTACCATATCTGAAATGACTATTTTCCCTTAATGATATATATTTATTTTGTTATTTTTTCCATTATTTATGTTATAATTAGAACAAAGTGTTTGAAACCAAAAACGCCCCATATGTCCTTACACCCTCACGTCTCCCTTAAAACCACTATAATGACACATAAAACTGTAAAACCAGTTAAAATTAGGTCAAAGATAATTCCCATAAATATAACAAACACATATTATAATCAATTTACTTTAATCTTTAATGAAGTTTTCATTCAATACTACAAGTCTATACGATTCCAAAAATATATAGAACGTCTAAATCTGACTTCGCATGAAGAAATTATGATAAATTCTATCACTATAGCCTTTATAACAAGAGGAATTTAAAATAAACTTAGAATTAGCTATTGGAGTCTAAAAGAAAGTTATAGTACTCGGAAATACCTACGCATGGATATAAAGAACGTTAAAAACGGAGCGTGTATGCAAAAGTTATGATCTTCCGAAGATGTAGCTGTCTAAGGGCATGACACGTGGCAGAAACCCTAGCCGCCTTAAGTACACGGCGTGAACATTAAGTCCACGACGTGAAACTAGTCAAGGACACTAATCGAGGCAAGAAAACACGTGTTAAGGCTACGTGATGACTCATAGAAGTTCACGACGTGACCATAGGTATGTTACGACGTGAATGGGCCCATAATAGCCTATAAATAGCGATCAAAGCTCATTCATTCCTTACACCTTCTCCTTTCACTCTCTCTCGTTTTCGAAGGCCGTTTTCCTGCCCGAGCCTTACAACGATGAGCCTCTGACCTTTTAGATTCTATAGATCACGTTACTAGGGTGAGTTTCACGGCCCCACTTTTTAATGTTTTCGGGGGAAAACGCATGCTAAATATTGTATACAAGTTAATACTATGTTTATATGATAGTATGTTCGTATCAACATAGATAGTTATATTAACCGGGATATAGTTATTTTGTATGATATATACCTAGAATATATATGATATTTTGAAGTTATAAAACTATCTTAAACTTGTTAGCATGTTGTTACTAATATAGACCCTAAGTTATACTCGGGAATTCTCTCTCTCTCTCTCTCTATATATATATATATATATATATATATATATATATATATATATAGCCTCAGAGTTATACTTGGGAGTTATATATACTAATTGTTAAGTATGTTATTATTATTGGTTTTATGATTAAGATAAAACCTGGTTTTACTTCAAGTTATAGTTGTTGTACTGCCTAAGTATTATGAAATTAGGAGTAATGTTTAAAAGCATAGTCTAGTAACTTAGGGTTTTTGACACGAATATGTTTTTGCTGTTAGAACTATGGGAAGTCGACAAAGTCTACATGAGCTATTGTATTCATCAACTAAGATTGGGAATCTTAGAAATCCTTTGACCTATAACCGTTAATCTCGTGCGAGCGAGAAAGTTGTGTATAGATCTATGCGGGTTGACGCCCCCACCCATGGTTGCTAGCTACAACCCAACGGTTTTACGGGTGACGAACTTGCCCATTTTTCCAACGAGGAAGTTGTGTGTAGATCTATGCGGGTTGACACCCCCACCCGTGGTTGCTAGCTACAACCTAACATTTGGCGGGTGACGAACTTGCCCATTTTATTGTTATCCGACGTCGATGAAGCGTGCGGAATTTATCTTAAGGTGCGAAACTTGCAACATCAATTAGAGGTTTGAAACTAGGCATACAACCGTGGTTATGAACTCATGGTAACACAATTTTAGAAGCATTATACTTTGTCGATATACAAGTATGAATGTTAAGTATAAGTTTCCCAAACACTTATACTCTAGGTACAAGAAACTTGTAGGTATACTACTTGTTCATTAAGTAGACAATTATACCTACAACACATACTCGTATAGAATTGAAATAAGATTTATACGTAGCATTTTTCACTCGTATAAAATTGAAATAAGATTTATACGTAGCAGTTTTCACTCGTATAGAATTGAAATAAGATTTATACATAGCAATTTTCACTCGTATAGAATTGAAATAAAGATTTATATGTAGCAACCTTCGTTTGTATGGGATTACAAATACTTATATTCATAGTATATGAAACTTATAGGTATACTAATTATTTAATAAGTAAACCATTATACCTAGGATATATACTATATGTTAGAAACAAGTATGAGTCAGAACAATATTTTCAAACTATGTTATATACTTTTCCAACTTGGGAAAAAATATTATTTTCACTCAGAGTCAAAGCCTATGGACTCACCAACTTTATGTTGACGTATTTTCAAAACGCATGTGTTTTTAGAAACTTGATAAGCTGGAATGTTACTCGAACATGAGAAGTTTTACTGTTGTTCTCTCTGTTCATATGGAACATATATATATATATATATATATATATATATATATATATATATATATATATATATATATATATATATATTAGTACGTGTGCGATAATTCATATACTATGTAATAATCACTAGGAATCAAGAATAACGTAACTTCCTATCATCAATAATGGTATGTATTTTATAAAACTCTTTTGTAGTGTTCAATATATGTTATATAGCTGTGATACAAGGAATGACGTTACACCGCCCGGTGTTTCCGCCGCCGGCTAGGGGTGTGACAAAAACTACTACCACCAATGTTCCTAAAATCATCACCACATCTCCCCTACCCCATATCACCATGATAAGACACAACACTGGAAAAGGATTCAGGTTTCAAACACAAAATCATGGTGTAACGTCCCAAAAATCCATGGAAAATTTTTCATTTTTAAAACATCAAACCATACAAACGAGTTGTTCCAAAACCTATCAAAATGGATATATTATTTAAACATTAGAGTAAAAATCATAAACATCCATGCGAAATAAAACTTTGGGGGATGTTGTGTAGTCACGCCGGACCCTTCCCTTTCAAACTGGAAGTGTAAGCACAAAGCTTAGTGAGTTCCCCAAACTACCACATACCATACATAGCAATGGGCCTAGCCCGCACATTAGGCCCAACCCATAATAATAGGCTTAGCCCAACATATAATGTGCCTAGCCGAACATACAATTGGGCCTAGCCCTCTCATGAAATGGGCCTAACCATACATGCATGTCCATGGGCCCAACCCAACATATAATGCAAGAGTCACAAATACATCTAGAATTCTACATAACACATTCTAGTGGGCCAACATTGGTGCCTTCGACCCACAAGTATAGTGAGGAGACTCAACTCAATCTAGAGATAACCGAATCATACACGTGCGACTGCTACTTGCTCCTCACACTAAACATATCCAAAAATGATTCCTAATCAATAATCAGGGTAATAACCCATAAACCAAGGCCCAATCATATCCCATCATGCTAAGGGGTAAAAGATGATTTTACCCTTCCTATACTTGGCCCAATAATCATAACCCAAACCCAAAATGACCCAAGGCCCAGAAGTGTATCTGGTGAGCACGCCCCCGTTCCACCCAGTAC